GCCAAGTTTGAGGCCAATTCATCTGATATTGTTATCACAGGTACCGTTTCAGTTTGCAGTAGAGATGTTTCAGGTCTGTTTGATCCAAGGTCTACCTACTCCTACCGTTTCAGTTGGTTGTGCCCTGTGATTCCTCGAGTGCCCATGTATCTGTGTCCACACTTGTGTGGGGTTTTATTATTGTAGATCGTGTCTATCATTCATGCGTGGTTATTATTGGGGGTCATCAAACTAGCATAGATCTTCTACTTCTCGATATGGTTGATTCTGATGTCATTTTGGGGATGGATTGGTTGTCACCTTATCATGCTATATTGGACTGTCACGCTAAGACAGTGACCTTAGACTTGCCGAGGTTCCTTTATTAGAGTGGAGAGGGAATCTTGGTCATTCTACCAGATGGGTTATCTCTTGTATAAAGGCTCGGTGTATGGTCGAGAAAGGGTGTCTAGCTTATTTGGCTTATGTCCGTGATTCTAGTGCGGAGGTTCCTTCTATGGATTCTGTACCAGTTGTTCGAGAGTTTCCAGAGGTATTTCCTGCAGACCTGTCGGGGATGCCACCCGATAGGGATATTGACTTCTGCATTGATTTGGTTTCGGGCACTTAGCCCATTTCTATTCCGCCATATTGTATGGCCCCACCAGAGTTGAAAGAGTTGAAGGAGCAGTTGCAAGATTTGCTTGATAAGGGCTTCATTAGACCTAGTTTCTCTCCCTGGGTATGCCCATGTTATTTGTAAAGAAGAAAGATGGGTCGATTAGGATGTGCATTGATTACCGGTAGTTGAACAAAGTTACTATCAAGAACAAGTATTCATTGCCAAGGTTTGATGACTTATTTGATCAGTTTCAGGGTGCCAAAGTATTTTCAAAGATCGATCTGAGGTTTGGCTACCATCAGTTAAGGATTAGGGCGTCCGATGTCCCTAAGATAGCTTTTCGGACGATATGGGCATTATGAGTTCCTGGTGATGTTATTTGGCTTAACAAATGCCCCAGCAGCATTTATGGATTTGATGAACCGGGTGTTTAAGCCTTACCTGGATTCCTTTGTGATTGTGTTTATTGATGATATATTGATCTACTCCCGTAGTCGAAAGGAGCACGAGCGGCATCTTCGGATCGTACTTTAGACGTTGAGAGATAGTCAGTTATATGCTAAGTTTTCAAAATACGAGTTTTGGTTGAAATCAATCGCTTTCTTGGGGAACGTTGTATCAGTAGAGGATATTAAGGTGGATCCTAAGAAGATTGAGGCCATTCAGAATTGGCCTATGCCTACTTCAACCACAGGGATCCGTAGTTTCTTAGGATCGGCAGGTTATTACCGTCAGTTTGTGGATGGGTTTTCATCTATAGCATCCCTATTGACCAGGTTGACTCAGAATGGTGCGTCGTTCAGATAGTCAGACGAGTGTGAGGTGAGCTTTCAGAAGCTCAAGACAACTTTGACTACGGCGCCGATGTTGGTGTTGCCCATAGGTTCAGGGCCTTATACAGTATATTGTGATGCATCTCATATTGTACTAGGTGCGGTATTGATGCAGGGTGGCAAGGTAATTGCATATGCTTCACAGCAGCTGAAGGTTCACGAGAAGAATTATCTTGTTCATGACTTGGAGCTGCCATTGTTCACGCGCTGAAGATTTGGAGGCACTATCTTTATGGCGTGTCGTGTGAGGTGTTCATGGATCATCAGGGTTTGCAGTATTTGTTCAAGCAAAAAGGGCTCAATTTGAGGCAGAGGAGTTGGTTGTAGTTATTGAAATACTATGATATCACCATCTTGTGTCATCCTGGGAAGGCCAATGTGGTGGTCGATGCTTTGAGTAGGAAGTCGGGTAGTATGGGCAGCCTTGCGTACATTCCAGTCGGTGAGAGACCGTTTGCATTAGATTTTTAGGCCCCAGCCAATCAGTTTATAAGGCTGGATGTTTCTGAGCCTAGTCGTATCTTAGCATGCGCAGTCACTCGGTCTTCTTTGTTTGAGCGCATCAGGGAGCGGCAGTATGATGACCCTCATTTGCTTGTCCTTAGGGACACAGTGCGGCACGGTGATTCCAAGCAGGTTACGGTTGGAGATGATGGAGTTTTAAGGATGCAGGGTCGTGTTTGTGTGCCTAATGTGAATGGACTTTGCGAGTTGATTCTAGAGAGGCCCACGGTTCCCGGTATTCTATTCATCCGGAGATCGCCAAGATGTATTAGGACTTGTGGCAGCATTATTGGTGGAGGAGAATAAAGAAGGATATAGTTGCATATGTAGCTCGGTGTCTAAATTATTAGCAAGTAAAGTACGAGCAAGTTCGCATGATGTTTTAGGACTTGTGTGCATGTTTGGATTGGAGCCCCGAGGGCTTGGGTGAGTTTCGGAGTGGCTACGGGATATTTTGAACTTAGAAAATATGGTATTTTTGCTGTTGCAGTTGTTCTGGTGTGTTCTTCTTCGCGTTCGCTAAGGTACTCCCGCAAACGTGAAGGATAAGCTGGTCAGTGTGAGTTTTTCCTCTTCGCGAACGCGAAGGTTTGGTCCCGAACGCGGAGTGATGGGGGCTTTATCCTTCGCGAACGCGACCGGCTCCTCGCGAATGTGAAGTATTTGGGACCTGGGGGAGGGGTTAGTCGTTCCTTCTATGCAAATGCGAGCACGGGCTCGCGACGCGAAGGCCAGGGGAATAGCCTTCGTGAGCGCGATGAGGGTTTCGCGAGTGTCCTCACGAACGCGATGAACAGTGTCGCCCAATTCTTAAAATAGTCCCAAAACGGGACTTAAGCCATTCTTTCAAATTTTCAAAAGCTAGACAGCCTAGAGGCGATTCTCCCAAGCTAATTTCTTCCCCAAATTGTTGGTAAGCGGTTCTAAACCACTTTCTTTCAATTACACATTGCATTTCATAAATTTTCAACCTAAAATCTAGAGTGTTCAGGGTAGAATTGGGGGTTTTTAGGTAGAAACTAGGGATTTGGGAAATTGGGGATTTAGACTTCGAATTGAGGTCGGATTTCAAAACTAATTATATATCCGGTCTCGGGGGTTAATGGGTAAAAGGATTTGGTTTGAACCTCGAGTTTTGACCAAGCGGGCTCGGGGTGGGTTTTTTGACTTTTTGTAAGAAAGTTTGAGAAATCTAAATTTATCCATTGTAGTTGGTTCCTTTAGCAATAATTGATGTTATTGAGTTAATTGTGGCTAGATACGAGTATTTGGAGGTGGATACTAGAGGAAAAACGGTAATTGAGCATTGAGTGGCCCCAAAACGAGGTAGGTGTCGTGTCTAACTTTGACTGGAGGGATTAGGAACCCTTGACTTATTTGTTATATGAAATCTATGTGAGCGGCATATAGGTGAAGTGACGAGTACCTATGCGCCGCCAACTTATCTGTTTTTGCCTGTTTCTTTCCCGTTCTTCTTATTTTGTCTTTTTCCTGCCTTAACTGTTATATACTTTACTTGTATTCTCATGCTTAATTGCTACTTGATTGACATTGTTTCTCTTTATTGAAAGTATTAGATTATTTAGTAACTTCGTTGTCTCCTATTATTTGCTTGAGTTGGTTATCGGTACTTTTATGATATATTTTGGATTGGTCTCGCTGAGTAGTATTACTTGTGTAAAGTCTCATAGTGTATAAGCTTCCTATTTGTTTTGGTTTGAAGTTAAGCCTTGTGAAGGGTTATGTGATTTGAATTGTGAAATTTCTATACTTGTTCAATAACTCATACTGATATGGTGGGATCGGGTTATACGCCGCAACAAGTATAATAAGGGTGAATTGTGGTGAAATAAGGGTGAAATGCAATTGTGATTATTGTGATATGGTGGGATCGAGTTGCACGCCGCAATACTTTTATTTATACTCTGTTGTTTATGTTAATAAGGGGAAATAAGGGAGGAATATGAGATGCACGGTGGGATCGAGTTGTACGCCGCAGCAACCTATATGTTTATACTTTTCCTTGATTGTATTAGTTGTACGGTAGTTTTAAATTGCACTTAAGGATTGGTAGTAGCTGAACACTGATGATATGCTTCGAGAACTGTATTCATTTCTTGCAAGTTACGGCTCTATTTTATCATGTCTTTTTTCTGCTTTTGTTATACACTGTATGCAGGTTATATTGTGATTGCCCCGTCGTAGCCTTGTCACTCCTTCGTCGATGTTAGGCTCGACACTTCCTAGTACATGGAGTCGGTTGTACTGATATTGCACTCTGCACTTCCTGTGCAGATTTTGGAGCAGGTTCGGGCTAATCGAGAGGTTGGCTGTAAGATTCACTTGCCTGGAAACCCAAGGTAGTCATGTCGGCGTCCGCAGACCCTGGTATCCCCTTCTACACTTCATAGTTTACTGTTTTCTTTATTTCGCAAACAATTGTATTTTCTTTCGGACAAATACTTGTAGTAAAATCTTAAAATATTCATGAATTGTGACTTCGGGCTCTAGGTAATAATGGTATATCATCAGAGTTGTTATTTATTTACCTTCGCGTTCATTTCAACTTGTTTTAGCTTGCTTATTGTTAATCACTGAAACGTAAAGAAATTGGTTAATAAATCTCTAACGTTGGCTTGCGTAGCAAGTGTGATGTTAGACGCCATCACGGTCCCGATGATGGGATTCCGAGTCGTGACATTTCATCCCTAAGCTTTTAAGACCACAAGTTTCAAAAGTCTACTTTTTTTCTTAAACTTCGTAGCGAGTCAAACTACCTCATCTAAATTGAGACGGGGAGAGTAACTTAGCCAACGATAACTTAATCTCCTTTCCCTCTCTCCTTCCCCCAATGTAATAAAAAAAAGTTAAAAAGAAATTAATTTAATTAGTCGGCGGTAGAAATGAGACGTGAATGACCACATAAATTTTTGATATTTATTTGATGTCGATTAGCTGTTAATGTTCCCATGATGCAACATTGCTTTCCCCATTGATGGTACCTTTTTATAATAAAATTTAATTAAGCCAACGACTTATATGCATTGTCTCAAAAATATACGTGGTCCTAATGTTATTCATAAATAATTTTGTGGCAGTAAGCACAACCAAATGAGGATTCAAAATCTCTTACACAAAAAGTTGAAAAAAATTGTTACACAAAAAAACACAACAAATACAGGATGTCTACAGATGACTAACCTAAAAAATTGTTGCACAATAAAACACAACAAATACAGGATGTCTCCAGATGACTAACCTAACCCATATATAAAGCAGCCACTACAATTTTCGGTGCATGTCAAAAACCAGAGGATACTGGAAATTTTCTGCTGCTCCTTCTGCTAGAACCATTTAAGAGTCCAATAAGATGCGCATCCAAAGATAACTATCAAGTTGTTCAGGAGGCTAATCTACAGGTTATCATTTGGCGCCTTTGTGCACATCCTTTTGCTAATGGCAACCATTAGCAACTTCCATGGAGATGCACATCCAAAGACAGCAATCACTTTGTACACATACTAATCTACAAGTAATCACTGGGAGATGTCCGCTCATCCTCTTGGTAAAGGCAACCATTTGGGATCTCCAACGTAAATTCACATCAAAAGACAACCACCACTTTGTTCGGAAGAATAATCTACAGGTTGTCATTGGTGTCATTCAACAAAGAGGGCCATGGCAAAACTACAGAGCTTAAGGTACAGCATCGACTGGATACGGCTAACCAGCTCAAGCAGCAGCAGCTGGAGAAAATACACACCAGACCGACCAAGCAGATGTAGGAACCAAAAACTGGAAAACTGTTATAGGATGTTGGACAGCTTGTGAAACCTTTGTACAACAGCGTGAAGATCATGCGCTTCATACACCTCAATGAGTGACCTAACCGCTCTGAATATTACGTCTTTCTTGTGGTTAACAGAAGAGTAATATTCGGCCTCAAACTGGTTAGGTGATTTCTCAAGAGACATGCAGACCAACTTAAACCACTCCTCAAGGAAGGATGATTTCTACAGGAATATAAACAGAAAATGAGACAAAAACCTGAGAAAAGAGATAGTAAAGCAATTACAGATTTTCTGGACTAGAAATCTGGAAAGAGAACATATACAGAAACCTCCATATTAGCAACCCAAGTATTTTGGTATAACCTTGTATCTTAAGATTCTTGATTTATTTCTTCAAGTTCTCTTTATGTGTTCTCTTTACCATTAAAAGAATAAGACAATACAATTAGCTATCAAAGATGCTACTCAATCCCCTTGCATCGAAATTAGAAGAAAACATCAGCACACGAAATATTAAGAGAAATAACTAAAATCTCAACCACCCTCCCCCAAAAATAATCTGCAATTATGTAGAAAAGATACTAAGACAACAATCATATATGAAACTTTTAAAAGAACATAGATACTTTTGAGATTGAGTGGAAGATTTCTGATGTGAACTTTTAAGCACTTAACTCTTTATTAACGTAAAATACAATATTTTATGTGCAAACATGTCGAAAGACACATGCATGCAACCTAATGCAGTATATATTTATGAATGGTTAAAGGGCCAAATATGTATATGTGCATATTTATCTGCTTGCATAATAAGGACTACTTTCACGAAGCAGTTAGCACCATAGTGCTTGCTCTTAACTGGTGACTCCAATGGCTGTTACTAACACATTTGACCAATATTGAAAGGCTCAAAGTAAATCCAAAATACTAATGACTGCACAATTTTTGTTTACGCCCACCAGAAAATAAAGATTTATCTACAAACGGCAAATAACCTTACGTTCCATACATTTCTCAATCATGTCTGAGGATAGATGCTAAACAAAACCATGATCAGCCTGATTCTACCATCTTAAGAAAATTCAAGTCACGAGAAGATCCAATTGACAACCCTTTCACTTGATTAAGATTAGATACACAGACTCATTCATTATCCACCATTCCAATATTGAGACGCGGCGAAAAATAGTTTCAGGGGCCTTTATTTGATATATCGACACTATGAAGCAAACAATCCTATCTTTCTATTAGTGAAGACGCTTCATTAAATGAAGCAAGAAAAAGAGAGCAATACAAGTGTCATGTTGCTAGGCGAAGCAGCCCGGATGCAGCATCCTAAATGGCGAAAATCCAGTAGCCGAAAGCATCGCCAGCTTACTTTCTGACCCCAATAGCATGGGCCGCGGAGCTACTTCAACAATTCCCATGTTTATAGTTTGAAAGGAAAAGGATCCCAGGAAATGTATTTGAACCTAATTCTTCCGAAATTTTCTATTCCAATCAACGGCTTCTTACCAGGTGATATTGGTAACCAATTTATGATTCTGAGGATTTTAATCTAAGGGGAATCCAAAAATTATAAAATTTTAACTGCCTGATAAACATGGAAGCAACTTCAGACAGAACTGTTAGAAAAACATGCCCACCATCATTTCAGGTTTGTGAAGACAGGTTAGAGGTGGTGGAGTAATAGTAAAGAGATTTGGCATATCAAAAGCAACTCAAAATATGGCCCAAAGAAAGAGAAAGAGTGGCAGTAGATGGAAATTAGGATATATGGCGATGGAGAAAGACAACATAGTGATGTAGGAGCATCATGTTGCAATTCCAAGTGGACACACTAAAGGGCAAGCATGTCGACAACTTGGCAAAGCAAATTACAGGTCTCAACCAGTGGCGGATCCAAGATTTACAGGACGTGGGCGTTTCACTGCTTTAGTAAATTTATAGTGGTCAAACATGATCATAGTGGGTGCTCATGGTCAATTATTTAAATTTTTAAATATTGTCTATGAATACATACGAGGGTCTTCCAGAAGCAGCCTCTCTATCCTTCGGGGCAGGGGTAAGGTATGCGTATACTCTACCCTCACCAGACCCCACTAGTGGGACTATTACTGGGTTGTTTCTGTTGTTATCTATGAATACATAACACAATTTGGCCAAAGCCAATGGGTGCTTCAGCACTCATACCTTAATACATAAATCCGCCATTGGTCTCAACATTAGCGAAGAGAACTTCAGTTCTAAAATCTTTATACTGCCTAAAAAAAAAGTTGATGCACACAACACAGATGGGAATCAAAGCAGCAACATCAATGAACGGAAAGTAGCGGAATGGTACAATATCACCACATAAATCATCTTCCAGGAAACCTCCTTAAAATACAAAGGTGCTTTTTAAATGTTATTTTATAAGGAGGTTTTTTTAAAACAATCTATAGATTCTCAAGCATTGAATTAATATAATAAGTCTTACCTTCATTAGAAACTCATGGACATGGCGATCATCCGTTTTGGAAGTGAGGCCAAGCAAATGCAACATAGTTGAGGTCAGCTGCAAAAGAAAAATTCAGTAAAAAGCAATAGGTGAAAATAATTGAAACGAGAGTGATCAACTATGATAAAGAGGATCGAACTTATTAAAACATTGAACTCATGTCATGGGATTGCCCCAATCCACCAAATACAGAGTGAAACACTTTTACCAACATGGCAACACCAATTAATCAATAATTATGACATATATCTCAAGTTTAAGTTTAAGTAGAAAAGTGTTCAGCTTTTATGTATTTAAATAATATAACCCTTTAGCTGGAAGTTTCAACATACAACAACAACAACAACAAAAACCCAGTGAAATCCCACAAACGGGGTCTGGGGAGAGTAGAATGTACGCAGACCCTACCCCTACCCCAAGGGGGTAGAGAGTGTTGTTTCCGATAGACCCTAGGCTCAAGGAGACGAAAAATACAATATATCAGTACCATCAACAGAAACCATAGAAATAATACCAGCATCATAAGTACCAGAAAATAGATGAAAAGCAATAACACACACGTAAGTTATTGTTTCAACATATGCTTCAAAAAGAGAATCTTAGTCAAGAAGACTACAGAGCCAGCCCACTACTGCAACAATGTCATATTGTAACATCTATAAAGGGAATATATGAAGGTAGTCAAGACAAGAAAGCGTACACAACTTTTTCATCTTTCATTAAGAAGGGGTACAAAACTTGACGTCTTCTATATGAAAAGATTAAAAATGTTCAGCAGGCATTTCAAATCATGAATTGATATTCATACTCCTTGTTGGCTATACTTCTAATGTCTTGCGTGTCTAAGTAATATGGTCTAGGAGCTCAACCTGCTTTTCAAGTGCCAGCCTATATTTCAAATTTGATGGTGATGAAATCTCATCAGAACTCAGACTCTCGACAACATGCTGCACACCTTGAAGAACACTAAAAAATGATCCGCCATAATCTGCACAAAACGGGTCTCACATTATGAGGTCAAAATAGGAAAGAGCCAATAGCTTGAAGAAATACAAATGAACATGACTGACAGTTGACTTCAAGATGGAAAAAACCCTCCGACTTTTCAACCTGTATCTGATCGGATGACTACATAAAGTATGTCATATCCACAAACTTCTTCTATTGTACTAAATTCTTGCACTTACCTTTAGCATGGGCTTGTCCTGTTATGTTAGTTTCTTTTTTTCTTCTTTTGGACAATGGTAACAGGAAATTCATCAGCACAAAGATTGTGCTGGCAGCTATATCTACAAATTATGTCTTGTCCGTTAGTTTATTTTGGCTGTCCTTTAACACAGGTTAGTCCTACTTGTCAAGTAGCTTTTTCCAGCACCAGCCACCAGTATGCAAGTTTTAACAACTACTACTACTATGCCACAATCGCAAACTAGTTAAGAGGAAATGCAAACGTGTTCCAGAGGAACAGGAAAAAAACCTTTCCATAAGCCAACTGTGAGATGAGATATGAAACAAAAGATAAAGAAGAAGAATTCACCATTTGAGGATGCTGGAACAGACAAAGCAGCAGCTGCTTGTATCCTGATCTTAAAATTAGAAGAATCACGAAGGAGTAGCAACAAAATGCTAAAAACTGATGATGACCTGCAATGCTTACATGCTAGTCAATACAGACAATATATAATGTATGTTAACAACATATGTGGAAACTCAAATACTGCAAACATATAGAAGTATGGGAATATCAATACAAAATAGAGTAAAAGAGAAGAATCATGCACCACTCAAGAACAGAATTAAGCTGGTGGATTGCAGTTTGGAGACTGTACCAACAACCCCACAATAAGAATTTTTCAACCGTCAAAATCAATACAAAAAAGAGAAAAAGAATTATGAGTCACGCAACAATCCAGCTATCCTCGTTTACATAATGCATCTTAAGATTTTGTCAATAACTGAGATGTCACTACCCTTCCAAATCCCTAAATATTTTCTTCTTCAAACTATAGACATAGTTTAGTTTAAAGGGAAGCTTTGGCGTAACTGGTAAAGTTGTTGCCATGTGACCAGGAGGTCACGGGTTCGAGTAGTGGAAACAGCCTCTTACAGAAATACAAGGTAAGGTTGCGTACAATAGACCCTTGTGGCCTGACCCTTCCCTGGACCCCGTGCATAATAGGAGCTTAGTGCATCAGGCTACCTTTTTTTTTTTAAGCATGGTTTAGTAAGATGACAACTCCTATAGTCCTATGCAACCTATCTGCTTCGGACTATCATCTCTTAAAACAAGTAGTGACTATCAATTAGCATGGTCAAGGAAACAAAGAGAAAAAATATGACAGGTAGTATAGTTCTATTAATGGTATATTTCTATGTAGCTCTTACAAAATGGGGATTAATGTAAATCAAGATACACCTATTGCCAAAATATAGGTTTTGAACTGGTTTTTCATTTTGCTCCCCAAACTTTTTAATTCTTTCCATTTATTGACTTCATGTTTTAGGGAATTGAGTGTATCACCCTTCACATTTAGGCGGTCTTTTCTGATCCTTCAGACATGTGCCTCTGCACCTGCATCATCTTTTACTTTTCTTAAATACTGTTTAAATGGTGCTTGAATTTGCTAATATCCACTTATATAATCAGACCCATAGAAGTAACCA